GACAACTGGCCATCAAATCGGGCGATGCATTCATTCTTGTATTCTCTGTGGACGACAGCGAGTCCTTCGAAGAGGTCCGACGGCTCCGGGAACTCATACTTGAGCTCAAGAGCCAAGACAACAACGACAACGACAACCACAACCAGATCCCGATCCCCATCTGCGTCGTCGGCAATAAAAACGATTTATTAGACGATCGACGAGTCATTAGAAAGGTATGGATTCTCGTCATATATATACAGAATATTCTGTTACTATAGCTATAAATGTATTGAAAGAACATGTTTTTTGTGTTACTTTTCAATTCAAAAGAGTCGTTAGCTTTTGCTTTTCACTGTAAAAGTCATTTATGTCTTGATTTTTGAACAAAAATCTATAATCTTTTTTCGTTTCGTTTGTTTTGTGATAAGTATTTTCAATTGAGATCCAAATCAATGTCAGATTCCTTACAAAACTCTGGATTGAATTGAAAATAAACTTTCGATTCTTCTATTTCATAGAAATTTTACACTTTTATTGAATTCACGAATAAAAGAAAAAATATTTATATAGATATAAAACTAAAGCTGTAAAAATACAAATAATATATTAAACCTACTAAAATGTTTTGTTATATTACCGGTTACAAAAACACCCACCTTAAACTCATTATAGCCCACGGAGTTGTATGGTTTGACAAAAATTGATTTTTTGATTGGATTATAATATAATTTACATATTTTCTTATTAACATTATTCAAATTATCTAGTAATTACATTAACATTCAATTTTGTGCGGGGATTAGTGCACAGGAACTCATAATAATAAAGATTTTCAATTAAAACTAATGTTTTATGAAGTAAAATCGATTAGCAAGAATAATTTTCAATATTCACAGTTATTATAAAATAATTGAATTTTAATAAAAAAAATATATAAAAATAGCAAAATATTAAACGTTTTTAATAATAGACATACAGTACAGTACTTAATGTGTAATTATAATATAATCATTAAAAACATTAAAATTTATTAATAATAATAATCTTAAACATAATTAAAATGGCAGTACTTATGCCCAGAATTTTCATTGTCAGCCATAAGTGCACTTATAATACACAATAGGAAAGGGCTATAATTTATAGCCTATAAAAATAAAGACCAATAATATTGTGGATGAAAAATAGAGATAAACTAAAAGGTGTTTTGAAGTGTTGTATCCGAAAGTGGTTTATATATAACTTACGAAAACTCTTTAACTCTCGGGCAGAGAATAATAGCGAAAAGTTTTATACCAATGAATGCCTATTCAGACGTGAGTTTAGGTATTAATACTTTTTCGTGTATATAATGAGTAGCGAAATAAATTGGCAGTAAAATTGTTTGTCTATAAAAATATAATTAAAATTTCTATTTCCCTGTTAATTAATTACACGTTTTTAAAATTAAACAAAATAAATACTTTTATAACTATAAAATTAATATTCAACAACATTATATTAATATATACAGAATATTCTGTACACACATCTCATATAATTATTGTCAATCTGTGAACAGATTCTGTAATACAGTTTTTAGCACTTTTATAGCTATAGTATGATATAATATACTGTATATGAATGCATAGTATTTATCAAAAACTTTTTCAAACAAAAACTTTTTGAACAAAATTTTCTAAAAAATATTTTCTGATATCTTAACCTCAAGGAAGTGGCGGAAAGTGTGATATGTCTGGACTGGGAGAACGGGTACGTCGAGTGTTCGGCCAAAAGCAACACAAATGTAGTGAAAATATTTCAGGAGCTAATGATCCAGACTAAAGTG